ACATTTTTAATTTCTCATCATATCATAATAGCCTTAAAACACTTTGGTTTGATATTTAAAAAATTCACAACAGATAATTAAAGTATGGCAGGTATATGCATGAGAGTGTACTTACCATGTCAAATAGTCAATAGTTGTTCAATATTTTTGTCATAAAAAAATAAACATAATCATAAATATTTATAAATGTTATAATTTTGTGTTTCAAAAATTATAAAAAAAATTTCAACATGATAAGTTATATTTTTATTTTTATATCATCCAAATCATTTCTTCGAACTTGGTATAAAATGATGATATAATTTTTATACAAATATTTATTTGGATAAAATATAAAATTATAACTTGAATAAATAATTTGTCATTGTATATTATCAATCGGCTTACTATCGGAATAAAATAATATAATTAATATTATCTTCACAATGGCAAACTATTATTTGAAACTTGTAAGCCTTATTTAGCGCCTAACTTCTTTATTGTTTCTATAGATCTTGAGCCACCTACTATAATATTATTTTTCCTCCGTCTCTAGATATTCCCAAGTTATTCTCATGGTCTCCATAGGCATTCTTTTATTTAATTTCATTTTAATTATTTTTTTGATACTTTACATCTTTTGATAGTAACTTTATATTTTATTCTTATTTATTCAATTTTTATATACTTGATATACTTAGGAATTATTTTTATTTTATTAAGCTCTTTAGCTATTGATTTTCGAAATATATAGCATATACATCAAGTTAATTTCTTTTATACAAATGCTTTTTTCTTAAATTTATTTTTATATTAATTTTCAAGTTAATTTCTTTGTTTTAGATATTATGTTAATTTGCTTTTACGATATTGATTTTTGTTTTGTTAGTTTAAATTTTCTATTTACTTTTAATTTGCTTTTACGATACTATATTTTAGTTTTTTTAACATAATTTTCTTCTCAATTTGTTTCTTAAACTTTTTTATTATGATTTTTCCATCTATAACACAAAATTAATATTTTTTTGTTTTTTTGTCAATTAGTTTAGAAGTTAGAAATTTTCTAAATCTATATTATAAGTTTTAGCTTTTACGTTATTGATTTTTGTTGTTAGGTTAACTCTTTGACATTAAATTTTCATTTAATTTTAAAGAATACGGTATTTTTATTTTTAATATTAATTTCTTTTCTATTTGTTACTTAAGTTTTTTTTTATTTTGATTTTTCCATATATAAAACTAAATTATGTTTTTTAAAAAATAGAAATTAATTTTGTAATTTTTTAATCAAATTTAATATTTTTATGTTTAATGAAAAACGCTGATGTAGACCAATCATATTGAGTTTCTTCATCTTAATCATACTTAACATTTTTGTGATTAAAAAAATGATGATGTGGACCAATCAGATTGAGTTTTTTAATTCTATGTGAATGTTCTCAATGCACTATGCCACCAACTTTTATATATTATAGATTTCCATTTTATCTCTTAATACATGAAAAAAATTCTTTTTTTAGTTAGCATTTTTATGAGGATTTTCGATATAGTTAACCCAAAATATCAAGTTAAATTCTTTTTTAGATGATTTTTTTAGCTTTTAATTTCTATTTTATTTTGAGAAATATTGTAAATTTCATTAATAAGCTGATTTAGACCAATAAAATTGAGTTTTTTCGATCGTAGATTTTTTTTTTTATATTTAAGCATATTTAACATTTTTTTTGTTTAATGAATATGCTGATGTGGACCAATCATATCGAGTTTTTTAATCTCAAGTGGACGCTCTCAATACACTATACCATCAACTTTTATATAGTATAGACTATGTGTTTTCCTGTACCTTGTGCAGGATTTGATTATTTTTTTGTGATTTATGCTAGTTACCTTTTTTGAGTAAACTGAATATTTTTATGATATAAATTCAAATCTGGAAATCTAGGTTTAAAAAAAACCGAAAATCTATTAAAAATTATATTACATTAATTTGTTAATTTCATTAAAGGTAAATAAAGTCTTTTCGTATAGGGTGCAAAGAGTAATCAACCATCATGACTTTTAACTATAGTCCTATTTATTTCCTAATTAATAATATGATAGATTAGTATACTGTCGGGTGTTTGTATCAAATATTTTTATGATTTTAAAGAGTATTGGGCCGAATCTAGTCTCGAAGAGGCACATACCAAGTAAGCAAGGAAGGAACCAGTAAATAAATCAGTTAAGGAATAACAAAAGTAGAACATGAATCAAGGAAGAAAGCAATCAAGGAACAAAAATATGGAAGGAAACAGCATGTACCCAAGAAAAGAAGCAAGCAAGCACGCATGAATATAGAGAAAAATAATTGTAAAGGAGCACGTGACAGATTCAAGTAAAGAGGTTAGGAAAAAAAGCAAACATGTATAAAGAAGCAAGAAAGCAAGCAAACGAGTCAAATAGATTAACAAAGCATAGAAATCAATTAAGGAAAGAATGCTTGAACAGCATCTGGTGGTTATCATCTTGTGGCTTAGAGGACAAATTCCTAAGGAGTTTGCCTTGAATGCTTAAACAGTACGCCATTTCGTATGTTTTTGTAAGGGGTCATGGTATGGACTCGGACATGTTTAATCGAACACAGTAAATACGTCGACTGTCCACTCGAACTTTATTCTCACGAACTGCTCTATAAGCATTCCTAAAGCTTCTTTCTTGAGCATCTCAGCTTCGGTTTCGGTCTGAACACACCTTGGAAATCGACATAATTCTCGATTTGTTGATCATCATGACTAGATCCAGAATCCATGTAGATATAAAGCGAATCCATGTAGACACACTTATTATGTTTAGTATAATCTATACACGAGTTAGCATTTAACATTCATTATTTAAAGTAGCCGTAAATATTTTTCTTTTTAAGAATCAGATTACATGAATACAAATAATTACGTTTAAGTGAGAAGAACCTGAAAGGAAGGCTGATGAAACCCAAAATCTTCTTTAGCTTTACTGAGTAGAACCTGAAAGGAAGGCTGGCTCAAGTATGAGACTGGCGCAATATATCTCTGCTTCTTCTTGCTCTCACCGGTCACCGACTTACACAGCAAGAAATCCTTTTGGTGCAGAAGTAGCTTTCCTGGTTCCTACTAAAGAGCCACCGAGAATCTTCTTTGCACTAAAGAGACCTTACCAAAGCCATTTTTTTGGTGTGGAGGTTTGAGACTTGAAGCTTTTGAAGGAAGGGGATACAAGTTCTGGATTATTGATAATATTCTTTCTGATTTGGGGCTATATATATATATATATATATAGGTCAAATGAATGAGTTGAGACATTTCTGAAATCAATTAAATCAATGATTAACAAGCGTAGGGCATATATGAATAAATCATCACCTTATTTTGGATATGAATATGAAAGATGAGATGACACTGTAGGACACGAAAGTTTCATTAAGAAACTTAAGTGGGGGAACTTTAGGTTGTTCTGTAACACCCCCGACCGCCCCTACCGGTAAGTCACCCATCCCTCCATCAGGCTCGTGGGCCTCGTCCCTGTCCGAGGGTTGGTGCGTTATTTTTTCCGGAGCCTGACCGACTTATTTACTAACCTTGCAATCACTACATGATCTTTCCCTGTGTTTTGGCCTCACTCACGCGGTTTTGGGAATCACTTTCCGAAAAATCACCCTTCCTAATCCTTCTCCAGCTCAAGCACGCTTAATTCTGGAGTTCTCTCAAAACCACTAACCGAAAAGATAAGTGCACTTTGGTGACATAAATAGCCAAATCAATCTATTTAAATTTATTTAAATGGGCCGGACCCGGGTCGTTACATGTTCACTAAGAGAACAAGAAATCTCTGACACACAATCATGTTCTATACATCCAATTCCAACCACAAGATCACTTGTAATAATGTAAAGGCCACAGAAGAAGCTTGAAATTTTCTTATAAGGTGATTAGTGATACCTCCTTATCTTACCGGTAACAGCCATGGGGATCTGTCTGCAGAAACTTCAAGTACTTCCTCCAGCAAACACCCATCAGAATATTCACTTTTTACGAAAGCATGTGCTACTTTTTATTATTTTATTTTTAATCAACACTTGTGAATATAAGATTCCATGTGGGTCAAAATTCATATACAGTATTAGCACAACAATATCTATAAATTCACGATTCTGACGAATATCTAAGCTCCTAATTTAGTTGATAACCATGTTCTTGAGGTTTCTATAGAATTCAGCGAGTAATGCCTTCGCTTCAAATTATTAATAGACTTACGCATGAAGCAACTGATGAAATTCACAAGATGAAGCGCCTAATAGACTCTAAGCTTCTAAGTTCTTACTTCTTACCATCTTATCCTTTGAACTACTCAGTTTAAACAAAATAATCAGACATCTGTCGAAAATAATAAAAATAAATGAATAAAACAGACATGGAAGTCTTCTCTAACATGTACATGTAATTGTAATCGAGCAGTGTGATGCGAATTCCGACTATTTAGGGTTTTCCAGATCTAACTTATCGTCAACCCTAAACGGCTTAGGTCTCTTCTCGACCACCATTTTCAGTCAAAAGTGTAGTAAATTTTCCATGATCAGTATCGGGATTTGGTCTTATGAAAATTATGTCTTTACACAAGCATATAATATATGAGTATAAAAAATTACGGCGGAAGACGTCGGTAAGTCATTTACTATATCGACTTTAAATTTTCTAATTGGAAGCAAGTTAGCTTCGGTTACGAAACTGACTCTAAACCTCTTAATTATCAAAACACTCTCTTGGTTAAGGAATTAATATAAACGTAAAACTTAACTTTTTTGGTTAAGTGAGCCCAATATATATAACGTTGACGATGTTAAGTGGGTGGTCAAACCTAAGTTATTACTTTTGAATCACTTAATAGCCGACGTTTAGTACTCTGTATTAAACGTTGTTACAATCCGTTTCTGTACATGTACATACTGAATGATTTTTTCTATAAATTTGATTTGACTAAACTAACACCATTTATTCATTCTATAAAAAGGATTTCACAGTTGATCTTCTACCATAATCTTCAACATCTAAGATACAACATCTCACACAAAAAAAAACATCTAAAATACAATGGAGAAAATTTCAATGAAGTTTGCTTTCGTTTTCTTTTTATCACTTACATTCGGTAAATTTTATATTTTGTATGTACGAAAATAATTATTAGTTTACATGAAAATTATTGTATATAACGATAACATGCTGCTCTTGTTCTGCAGTGATGAGCATCAGAACGATTGAGGCAAGTCGTTTACTACCTAAAGAAACTTCTCAAACTGTATTACACCATGATGTTTTGCCACAGGTTGTGAAGCACCAAAATGTTCACTGCAAGAAAGGGTGTTATGTGCAGTGTGTTCCCAATCCATTTGCTGTTGAATGTTTTTGTGTATGCTAATTTCGATTTCATCACGTTTAATCCAATAAAATTTATATATCCAATTACTAAATTTTTATATTAATTATAAAACTTATTATATACATTTCATATGTGCATTGACCATTACATATGCTAATATTATGGAGAAAATATATAGAAAAACAATCTATAGACATATTTTAAGATATTGGGCTTTTATTTATTAAAAAGTATTTTAGAAACAACAAATTTAGCAATGGTCTGATCTGAAAAATATTAAGGTTGAACGGCCTTTTTGGAATTTTTTTTCTTTCTTAGTCATAAACAAATCTTTTTGTTTAGAAAGATATAAAGTTGTCAACGTAGGAGACAAATTTTAAAATGGTCTAATGTAAAAAAAGATTGCCAGAAGGTTGAATGGTCTTCTTAGAAAAAAAAATTGTTTTCAATCATGAACAAATTTTTTGTTTAGAAAGATATAAAATTGTCAATTTAGGAGACAATATGAACAAAAAAAAGATTGTTCACTTTAAATTTAATGTTCATATTGCCATTGAACTCAAATAATACAGTTGCATTTTCTTATATTGTTCAGGTCTTTAGGGAAATGTATTTTAAGATGTTTTCTGTTTTCAGGTAAAGTAATGATTAAGTTTTCCATGTACAGTATATTTATAGTCACAATTTAGAATCGCAAACATTTTTTAAACATATTTTTTTTTTCAAATGACTAAATGAATTAAATCTCTATAATAATTAAAATGACTTCTTTTCTATATTCTGAAATATTAACCAATTCATGTTGGTCTCCTGCTCATCATATGATTTGTTTTAAAAAATGAAAAAAAATTAAATAAAATCACACCCAACTTTTATATATTTATTTTCAAACATATTAAAAAACAAATTCTAGTTCGAAAATACCCATTAATTTTAGATTTATAAAATCTTCTTCAAAATTTAGGAAAAAGTAATTAAAATTCTCATGACTCCTAATTTTTTTTACCATATTTAAGTTCATAAACCAGACAAATTAACTAAAGAATATAAAAAAATAGAAGTTTGAACAATGTGTTGAGTCACAAGAGCTTCCTTGATAGTCAAAAACATTTATGTATATTCTTCAGTATAGACAAACTCAGTTTCCTTGCAAGTCAACCTTATGAAAGGTTTTGCTATCTTAGAAAATTTATTGATGAACTTTCTGTAAAAACCAGCATCCCAAGAATCTCTTTATACCTTTCACTGAAGTTGCGGCTCCAAATGCATCATAACCTCAATTTTAGCATGGTCTATACCTTTATGTTTTCTCTGAAATCTTGTGCTAAAGCACAATGGCTTCTTTCATGATGAAATGATATTTTTCTCAACTGAGCACTAGGTTTGTCTACTCACATCTCTTTAAGTCCCTGCTTAGATTGGACAAACATGCACAAAAAGAAGCATCATAAACAGAAAAATTATCTATGAAAACTTCTACCATTTCCCCAATATGATGAGAAGGTTGACATTATGCACCTTTGAAAGGTTGCTAGAACATTACATAACCCAAATGACATTTGTCTATAAGCAAAAATACCATAAAGACATATAAAAGTGATCTTCTCTTTATCATTGGGATGAATGGATATTTGAAAGAACTTACTATATCCATCAGTGAAACAATAGAAATTGCAAGTCGTTTAATGAATTTAATCAATGTAATTTTAGTAAATTAAATAATGTATTTAAATGAATTTAGTCAATATAATTTTAGTAAAAGAATCAATTTTGTCTTGAGGTAATTAAACAAAAGAAGAGTTGAATTTAGTCAATGTAAATGGTAGTAGGTGTGGTTAATGCATAATAATAGAATGTACTTTAATTATCGATTCATAGATTCAAATGGTATTTAAATGTGGGAAAGAAGAATGGTAAATGAATTAATTTAGTTAATTTCATTTTTACCTTTACACAGCATAGATTTTATAGCACTAACTGCTTTGGTTTGTCAAAGTGTATCATATTAATTTTGGAAAAAGCAAGCTTTTGTGAATTTTATACTCAGATAACTTATTTTGCAGGAACCTAATGTAATTATTTGCATACAAATGTAATCTGATTCCTAAATTTTTCTATTTACGGCTACTTCAAAGAATGCATTGGTAAATGCTAACCCACTTAGATTATACTAACAAGATCACTAAACATATCTAAGTAATGAGTGAGTTTTTGTTTTTTTTTTACCAAAAATAACAAGTTAGTTTTTTCACTATGATTTGGCTAAAAGTAAGAAGTCACAGTCAGTTGAATAACAATGTAGTGATTTTTCGGCATTTAGATTTATGTATTTTTATTTAAATTAGTAAACTATCAGATGTTTGTATCAAATATTTTTATAATTTTAAAGAGTATTGAGCTGAATTTAGTCTCGAAGAGGCACAAGCCAAATAAGCAAGGAAGGAACCAATAAAAAAATCAGTTAAGGAAGAATAAAAGTAGAACATGAATCAAGGAAGAAAGCAATCAAAGAAAAGAAGAAAAGAATATGGAAGGAAACAGCACGCACCCAAGAAAAGAAGCAAGCAAGCACGCATGGATATAGAGAAAAATAATTGTAAGGAAACACGTGACAGATTCAAGTAAAGAGGTTAGGAAAAAAAGTAACCATGTTTAAAGAAGCAAGAAAGCAAGCAAACAAGTCAAATAGATCAAAAGCAAAGTAACAAAGCAGAGAATTCAAATAAGGAAAAAATGCTTGAACAGCATTTAGTGGTTATCATCTTGTGGCTTAGAGGACAAATTTCTAAGGAGATTGCCTTGAATGCTTGAACAGTATGCCATCTCGTATGTTTTTGTAAGGGATCATGGTATAGACTCGGACATGTTTAATCGAACACAGTAAATACGTCGACTGGCGACTCGAACTTTATTCTCACGTACTGCTCTATAAACATTCCTGAAGCTTCTTTCTTGAGCATCTCAGCTTAGGTTTCGGTCTGAACACACCTTAGAAATCTACATAATTCTCGATTTGTTGATCATCATGACTAGATCCAGAATCCATGTAGATATAAAGCGAATTCATGTAGACACACTTATTATGTTTAGTATCATCTATACACGAGTTAGCATTTAACATTCATTATTTAAAGTAGCCGTAAATATTTTTCTTTTTAAGAATCAGATTACATGAATACAAATAATAACGTTTAACCAAAAGTGGTAGCGGTTTATGCTAGTAGTATAGTTGATTGGTTTTCTTGTACTTCGAATTCAAACTCTATCTAAAATAAAAATATATTTTTAAAATTAAATTATAAAAAGGATTAACAGTAGATGTTGGATGAGATTATGGACCTAAAACCTAAAACTTTAATAATAAATTCAAAAAATTGTTTTCAGGTTCCTACAAAATAACTCATCTAAATATGAAATTTACAAAAGCTTATTTTTTTAAAGACTAAATATGACACATTTTAACAAACGAAAAGCAGTTTTAGTGGTACAGTATATCATCTTTCATCTATGACCCAAAATTTACTTGTTGATATAAAAGGTTGAATCGAAATTAACTAAATTCATCTACCATTCTTTTTTCAACATTTAATTATACCATTTTAACTTATCATTCGAAAATTAAAGTATATTCTTTAAATATGCATTTACCATACCCACTGCCATTTAAATTGACTAAACTCAATTCTTTTTTTTAACAACAAAATTATAAAGTATGAACTTTTAACCTATAATTTCTTCGAGTTTGAACTAATTTTGTCAATACACACTACAAAAAATCATGTGTGTTGTGTCATTTATTTTCTTTGTTAATATTATTTTTTGATTGATGCAAATTCAGTTGCATCATTTAATTAAATGACTTTAGAAGTGGTGATGCTAATTTTTTACAGTAGAACCTCTATAAATTAATACTCGATAAATTAATAATCACTATAAATTAATAATTTTTGCCGATCCCAAGTCGGGCCAGTGTAAAAATTGATAAAATTCGATAAGATAATAAGATAATACTTTTTTGAAAGTTCTATGTAAAAATATAGTCCCAATAATAATATAAATTAATAATTATACATTTAGACATATATTAATAATGTAATATAGTAAACTATGATAATATTGTTGTTTTAAGTTTATAAAATTTGTTTGATTTATCTTCTAAATTCATTATTATGACATTTTTTGAATGAAGTTTACATTGTTGAAAATATTGATTTGGTTTTTTGATGAATATTAAAAATTAAAAATAAAAATATCTCTATAAATTAATATTTTATTAATTTATTGATAAATTAATAATTATTAATTTATCGATTAATTAATAACTCTATAAATTAATAAAATTTTGAGAGTCCCAACATTATTAATTTATAGAGGTTTTACTGTATATCAATATTATTAATGATGCAAGTATTTTCATCACTTATATTAATTGATATTAATATATATCATTTGTAATAAGTGATATTAATATTTAAATCACTTAAAATAAAAGATATTAATATTTACATCGCTTAAAATAAATGACATTAATATTTACTATCAGTTATAATAAATGATATTATATATTAAAAATTCAGAGATGTTAAAATTCGTTTTAATTTAAATTTTTGTGTTAATTTTTATAATATTATAAATTTAAGATAACTAATAATTTTATATTTATTATTCTAAGAAATGTATATAAATATATATATATATGATTTAACATAAAAAAAATTAGTGTTGATGAATTTCTTTTATAGAGGAGGAAACTAGTGCTCTTCATCATTCTTAGCAATGTGGAACAAATAGTTGTTCAGTGGAAATTTTATTTGCATCACTTTTATAACTGGAAGAAATATTAGCATCATTTATTATTGATGCTAATGCTAGTTGATCAAATGCTTCACTTATATAATTGATGTAAATTTATACATTTGTGTTAGTTTTTCAAAAGTGATATAAATTAATGATTATTATCAGTTTTTTTTAATTGACATTAATCAAATTACTATTAGTATCAATTATTTTTAATTGATACTAGTTAAGTTAAGATTCTTATCAATTAAAAAATTGATGTAAAATTTTATATATAGTGTCAGTTTTTAATTAGTGACTTTAAATAGAATCAGTTATTTTAATAACACGTTATGAGTGATGTAATATATATTTTTCTTGTAGTGACATCT